TTGCCGTTATCTGTTTTTGAATTCTATTATTATGTGTCATAATTAGTTCCTTGGGTGGAAAAATTTGTTTGTTCGTACTTATGCAGTATTATGTGAATTGCGAATTATATTAAATTTAATGCAGTAACTAATTTGGGCGCGCATTACCGGATGGGAATGTCCATGTAACACTAGAATATGGCGCGACGTAACGGTTCCGGTTCGTACGGTCGCGGGGTTTCGTTCGTGAGATCGCAATAAATTCCGACATCCTCATCGGGAAATCGTATCTTTTTCAATTGCAGCGCGCTAGAGCCGGACTTAATGATTTCGCGCAGCTCGGTATCGTTCTCTTGCGCTGCGGCTAACGTTTGATGATCGACGGACTTCCCAATCGCTTCTATTCGGGATAGAGTATCGGCTACTGCTTCTATTTGGGATAGAGTATCGGCTACGTTATTGTCTATCCCTTTAATGTGTCGGATATCGGTCGTAAATTGTCCGACGTAGTCTAAGTGTCTAAACTGTCTCGGCGAGCACTTGTCGAGGTTTTGATTAAGCGCGTATGTAAGGGGTTTGTGGTCGGTGTAAATAGTGAGATCTCTACCTTCGACGGCGTATCTAAATCGTTTCACCGCGCTGTACATCGCGAGTAGTTCTCGGTCATACACGCTGTACTTTTGTTATGCGAGGGATAGCAATTTTGTCATAAAACATAACGGTTGCCAGGTTTCGTTAACGCGCTGTTGGAGTACCGCTCCCATGGCGTAATCGGATGCATCGACGGCGAGGCTGACGTTGTCGCGTTAGCTAAGGCGCGTTTCGACTCGCGGAAGTTATTTTCAGCTTGTTCGGACCACTCGATAGATGCGTTGCACTTCGTTGTGTCTTTCAACAAGTCGTTGAGTGGTTCAAGGATTTTCGCTGCCCCCGGTATGAAACGTCTGTAAGAGTTGATCATACCGAGGTACTTTCGTAGATCTATAACGATCGTGAGTAGCGGTACATTAATTATTTTGTCGACGCGTTCAGCTAATGTCTTTATCCCCTCGGCGGTAACCGTGTAACCGAGAAATTTTATTTCGCTGGCGCCGAATTCACGTTTCGCGAGATTTATTACGACCCGATATTCGTCGATACATTTAAACAAAATCCGCAAATGTTCGCGGCGTCGTTTTTCATTTTCGGACGCAATTAAGAAATCGTCTATATACGCGTAGATAATTACTACATCCGGCCTATTTTTAATCGCACCATTATACATTATGTCTTGCGCCATCTTGCATCTATTTAGATTAATTTGTAGTATCTCCTTTAAGTGTAATAATATTAATATTTAAGTAGTAATATTTTCTTTCCTGGCTACTTTGCCTCAACATTTTCCTATAGCTGGGGCATGCTAGTGACCCAGTCACGTGATTAAATCTAGCACCTATTTCCTTATTGCATATAGCACAGTGAGGGTCATTTGGGCACACAGATATTGTTCGGAATTTTAGTTGGCCGTCCGTTTATGACGCAGACAGGCCCATTCCTCTCGTTAGGAAATTCCGAATTATATGTCCTCTCAGAGCGGTAGACGTAATAACTCGAGGCCAGGAAAAAACCCAGGAAAGGACCAGCCGGAAGGGCACGGAGGAGGGAAGAAATCCAATCGGCGGGAGGAGAGAATCAGGAACGGGGGAGTTTAGTTCATCTTCAGCCATCGGACAGTACAGACTTAGGACGACAGTTATTTCATCAGACATAGATCAGTATACTGCCGGCATTGAGCAAGGTCTGGGAGCACACGCTGAAAATACTCATCGAGACGAGCATCGGGCGAGATCCCTCCCACAAGGACCAGTTTGGCTTCAGGAGGAGGAGGGGGACCCTCGAAGCCCTGAATAGGACGGTCACGGTTGCAGAGGACTGCAGAAGAAAGGGCCTGGTATGCGTTCTGGTCGCCCTCGACGTAAAGAACGCGTTCAATACACTGAGGCTGCAGAGTATTCTGGAGGAAGCGCGAAGGAGGCGGTTGCCAGGACGACTTCAGGAGTTGATCGGGGATTACCTGGCCGATAGGAGGATCATAGCGCACTGCCGGGACGGCGTCGTAAGGAGGAAGGTCTGTGCGGGGGTTCCGCAGGGGTCGGTCTTAGGACCGCTACTGTGGAACCTCGTGTACGAAGGAAGGTCGGTGCGGGGGTTCCGCATGTGTCGGTCTTAGGACCGCTACTGTGGAACCTCGTGTACGACGGAATTCTGGAGACGCTCGACCGGGAAGAAGGACATCGAAGCCGACGACCTGGCGGTACTCCTTAAGGCTAGGGAGTTCCTTGGCATCGAGGACAGGATAAGGGCGGTCATCAGTACGGTTGATGCAGCGACGTGGGACTTCATCTGGCAAGAGAGAAAACGGAGGTTATGGATACCGACGAGTTTTAACTACGACGTGGGGGACGGGGGGCTCGGGGAGATCTCCACTAGCAAGACAGTGAAGTACTTGGGAGTTTGGTTGGATAATACTAGTGACTACAGTGTCCACTAAGTTGTCCACACATATCCTGACTATCAGGAAGTCACAGTCCCAACACTTCCTGTCGACCTCCTTACCGATCCTCTTACGGTAGCAGTGTGTGGGAGTCGGTGGTCCTGTATGGTGCACCTATATGGGCCTCATCCCTGGTCAAGGTGAAGAACAGGAATATCACCAAGAGGGCAGCGATGATCCGTATGGATCATCAAGGGGGCACAGAGGGCGGCGATGATCCGTACGTCTACCGCCTACCGTACAGTGTCGCACGAAGCGTTCTGCGTGGTGACGGGTAACATGCCCACACACATCAAGGCGTGGTTGCGGTGGAAACAGTACGGCGTAAAGAGGCGGATTGTCGAGAATGCAGAGGGAATAGAGTTTGGCATTGTACGAGGAGATGGAGAGGCTGAAGACAGAAGCCGAGGACAGGTGGAGGGTGGAATGGACGTTCCACAATCCCTACAGCTGGACTAAGAAGTTGATAGAGGATCCGTTGATCTTCTACGGAACGAAGAGGGGCGTCAACTACCACGTCATGCAGATTCTCACTGGGCACGGTATCTTCAATTGGTACCGTCACAGGATTGGGAAAGAGACGCACACCAGTTGTTGGGATTGCGGAGTCGCCGTGGACGATGCCGAGCATGTGCTGTTCTGGTGCTCTAGATGGACAGGTGAGCGCGCGGAGTTGGAGGCCGAGATAGGAGAAGAATGTAGGATAGAGAACCGGATCGTTGAGAAGCTGGCCGCCGAGGAGCGGCTATGGCTCAAATTCAGCAAGATATGTACGAAGGTCATGATGAACCGCCTTAACAAGGAGAGGGAGGTGGAGGCTCTGCGGAGAAGAGAAAGCAGGAGGAGAAGAGTGTAGCGTAGAAGATTGGTTGATGAAGATGGGTACGTGTAAGTAGAGGCCAACCCGAAGTAATCGAATGATTGTACCGGGTTGGTATCTCGAGTACCTCAATGCAGGGAATAGGAGGAGTGGTTTTTAGTGGGTATGGCGACGTCATCTGCCGAGTTCCACTTAACTCAGTGACGCGGGTCACTGGGTATGCGTAAAAGCATTTTCCCCTTCTCGCGCGCAAAAATGGCGCCAGGTTGGCACGAAAGCCAGTACGGCTTCCGGAAGGGACGCTCTACGATTGACGCGTGCGGGCACCGGTAGAGGACAGAGTTTCCCGGAACGACGTGGCGCTGGCGGTTTCCCTGGACATCGTCAACGCGTTTAATTCCATGCCATGGGAGAGAATACTGACGGCCTTGGAGCACTTCGAGGTTCCCAGCTACCTCGTCCGGCCGATCCGAGCCTACCTCGACGACAGGCGGATGTGCTACACCAGCAAGGAAGGAGATGAAAGGCGACCTGTCGAGCGCGGAGTCCCGCAGGGTTCGGTGCTGGGACCGATTCTATGGAACATTGCGACAAGTACCCCACGACGAGGTACTGCGATGCCCGCTGCCCCCAGGCGCGGCCATGGTGTGCTATGCGGACGACACCCTGGTCCTGGTCGGGGGTCGTGGCTGGCACGAGACACTGCGCATCGGCGAAATCGCAACGGCCTGCGCAATCCATGCCCTGCGCGGACTGGGCCTGAGGGTCTTCCCTGCGAAGTCAGAGTCCACCTGTTTCTACGACAAGAAGCGGCGGGGACCCCACCGCCCGGCCTATGCATAAACATGGCAGGCGAAACCGTCCAGGTGGGATCGCAAATGAAATACCTGGGTCTCGTCATCGACAGCCAGTGGACGTTCGAGCCACACTTCGACTGCCTGATTCCGAAAGTGTCGGTGGCCGCTAATGCCCCGTGCGGCCTGCTCCCGAACATCCGCGGGGCGGGAGACGCGGTGCGCCGACTTTACGAGGGCGTCATTCTGTCCCGAGTGATGTACGGGGCCCCGGTATGGGCGGACGACCTGATGGCGAGCCGCCGCAGCATCCTGTTTCTGAGGAGGCTACACAGGGTAACGGCCATCAGAATCATTAGGGGATACCGGACGGTGTCTCACGCGTCGGGGACCGCCCTAGCCGCGTCCCCCCCGTGGGAGCTAGTGCTCAAAAAGTGATACACCCACCGGAGAGTATGGCATCCGGGAGAAGATCCGACCGAGCAGGCGGCTTCGAATGGCATAGGAACCGCTGAGGAGGACACGTGGGACGGGTGGCGATCCCAGCTGATTAACGAGGGAGGTGAACATCGGGGCGCGGAGGCGGTCCTCCCAAACTGGGAGGCATGGAGAAGCCGTCACGGCCTCCCGCTCACATTCAGAATGACCCAGATGCTCACCGGACACGGCGTGTTCGGCGAGTTCCTGAAGATAATTGGACGGAAGACGACAGACATCTGCCACCACTGCGGGGAGGACAGGGACACGGCGCAGCACACCCTGGAGCTCTGCCCGGCGTGCGAGCTGCCCCGACACTCCCTGCGGCACGCCACAGGAGGAACACCGACCCCCCAGCGATTATAGAGGCGACGCTGAGAGGGTCACAGGAATACGAGGTCCTCCGCCACTTCTGCGAGCGAGTCATGCTCGCGAAGGAGCGAGCGGAAAGGGAGAGGAAGAAAAACTCTCGCCCCTGCAGGATAAGACGATGGAGAAGGATGGCAGTCAGGCGACCTAGAGCCGCCCCAACGCCGTCCCAACGGACCACGCCTGAAGGAGCGCAGCGCTAGCGGCAAAGACCCCTCTAACGCC